TCGTCTCGAGTAATGTGTCGTCCCTCGGCTTCGTTAATGCGAAGTTTGCATTTAAAATCGGCGAAATCGAAAAAGCAAACTATGAATCGGTCGCTTCCTCTTTCATCCTCTCGAGCGATTATCCTCGCCGAGTGCAGAAACGTTCGGCACCGCGAAGGTACTCGAGACCAAGTGGGCATCCCTTGATTCTCTCTCTCTCTCTTTCGCTCCCTCTTAGAAGTTGAGCGGCTTGAAATGGTTCCAGGGGTGTCTTGTTCATTCATTCCCCGGAAACACTTGTGCGCGGACCCGATTGAGACGCCAACCAGAGATGAACCGACGCTTAATCGCCCGCTAACCGTTTGTCACAGAATGCATTGTAAGGACTTTACGAGTCACTTCCATGCTTGTTGCGAATTTTCCCTCTTTGGATAGAGGGAGTCTGGTCGGATGGAACGAAATAACGCAATATCGAATACGCCTTCTTCGATCGTTCGAAATACCACTTCTTTGAGTCAATGGACGACGATGATGTAATTTCGATTTTTCATATATAAGAAACGACTAAAGATTTTGTCGTTAAAATCCATCCGAGAAATAGAGAAAGAGTGGAAACCGTTGAAATCGGTTTTTGTTTCACGCCGATATCTCGATCCGTTGCCGAGATATAAAGAGTCGAAGTTATTCCATAGCGTTTAACTGGAAACGCGTAATAATAATAATAATACGTTTTTCCAGGAATCGTGTCCGGTCAGTTGTTTGTTTGGGATTCCAAGGTCAGTGAGACGAGACGCGAACGAGTTCGAGTAAGCGAACGGAGATAGAACGGAAACGATCAAAAAATTACGCTTTTCTTTACGCGACGATATCTCGGGAACCGGAAGTCGTATCGAGATAAACGAAGAAGCGTCTTAAAGGGAAAGATTTCGCGCTTCCAACGATCGTTCGCTCGTCGACAAGGAATCGCTACGTTCGAAGTTACAGCGATCCAAAGAGTTTCCCTAATTTTAATAAGATTCGACGTTGAAAATTGCTAGTTTTAAGACGAACGATTAGAAATTCACTTTTCTTTACGCGACGATATCTCGGGAACCGGAAGTCGTATCGGGATAAATGAAAGAGCATTTCGAAGCGCGAAGCGTCGCGCTTCTAACGGGCTTTCGTTCATCGACAAAGAATCGTTATCTTCGGAGTTGCAGCGGTTCAAAGTTTTTTAAATTTTTAATTCAAGGCGGAAAGGAAGAAAGAAGAAGGAAAAGTCTAGCGGCAAATGTGTAATAAGCTTATCGGCGAGAATCGGGACAATCAATTAAAACGATGTATCCGCTTAACGCTCGAGCCGAAAATTCAAAGGGTCGGCTAAATTCCAATACCTCGCGCCATCGTCCCGTGTAATTGATTACATTACACCGTGAAACGGGAGGACCACCTGGAACTTGGATAAAGAGTAAAAAAGGGAAGGAGGAAGCGGCAAAAGGAAGGACGTTGGAATAAGAAGTCGCTCGGATGATGAATGTGCCGTCTGAGCCGTCGCGTCACCGAGGCTCTGTTTCTCGTTTGTAAACGAGCTTCCCCTCTTTTTCTCCCGTCTGCATAGATACACCAGCCATTTCTCGAGGTGCCCTATCATCGAGGAAGAAGAACGTTCTATCCACGCTTTGTTTATACGAGCCTCGCCATTTATCTTTGAACGAAAAAAAAAGAAAAACGAAATGGAAAGGAGAGGAAGGGGAAAAAAAAAAAAATTAAATTCCAAGGAAGGATTCTCTCCAGGTTTTTCGTTCCGGAATACCTCGGTAACGGTATAATGGGCTGATTCGTTATCGGGAATATCATGAAAAACAAAAGGAAGAACGGTGATCAATTATCGATTAAACGAGATTCTACGTAGAACGTAATTTATCATGGTGTCGTGTCGAGGGAAAGTCTTGGCCAACGATGAATCTTTCGTCGGCGTTCAACAGCCGCCAGGGGGAGGAAGTTTTCGGGATGGCGTTAATCGTTCCTCCCTATGCAACTCTTGCCAGAAACTGGAAGGGAAGGATTTACGCTTGTCGAACTTTTCCCTCTCCAATTGATGCTCGAAAATTTGTTGCTCGATTTCGAATAAATAACGAACAATAATAATAATAATAATAATAATTGCGATATTGTGAGAAGAAAGATAAATAAATTTATCGAACGAAATTGTTTGCGTATCGAGCAAACGGGCCGAGTGTATCTAGATTGTAGTCGATTATACCGAGTTATTAACACATCAGTATTCATAAATCAACGGAGAAAGGGCTACGCGAGGTAACAAAGGGATACAAACAAAAAACGCAACGGGGGCAAATGTCGCTAAGCCTCTCTTTCTCTCTCTCTCTCTCTCTTTTCTACCCCTCTGGAATGGTGGAAGACCATGGTCGGCGAAACGTCGAGTTTCGAATGCCGGTCCTTAACGAGCGATAATAACTCGAGCAAATAGGCCGTGTTTCTAGAGCGCTTCTGTTTCCGTTCTCGATTGTAAATCTCTGTTCAACCGACAGAGAGAGAGAGAGAGAGAGAGAGACACGCAGAAAGGATCGTAAGGAGGAGGGGAAAAGAAAAAAATAGCATCCGTCATCGTTTCTTTCTTCAACCGAATGAAAAAGGAATGAAAGGGAATACAGAGGGGGGGGATTATTAGGTGGATCGTGCGATTTAGCTTTGGCGCTCGCTCCTCTGTTTATCTACAAGAGTGGGTGAAGGGTGGAAGGTAAAGGCGAGAGCGTAATCCAGCGGCGTATTAGCCGAGCGCGCGACCAAGGGGTGCCCTCGAGTGGCCATTCTTCCAGCTGAGCCCGTGTTTTGATATTGTAACGTTTGTATTAAATATATATATATATATAGTAGGAAGGGTGGTGGCTCTGAAAAAAGCCCTCCCGTTTATTAGGACTTCATTAGGAGCCCATCCCCTCCCTGCTTCGAATCCGTCAGGTGGTATCCCCCTTTTATCGCTTTCTACTTTCTTTTCATAGAGTGGTTTTCGAAAAATCGAGTCTCTTGATTTTATTCTTTGCTATTAAAACTTGGATAATTTTTCTTTACCCAAAATAATCTACAAAATTTCACTTTACACGCTTTATTACTTTTCCCTTCTTCTTTCTCGACGATTAATTTAAGGGGGAAAGCCGATAAAAGAAAAAAAGAAACACGCGAAAATCCATTTCCCAGGAGTCGTCCCTTCGCTCGTAATAAAATACGGCGAAACGCGGAGCGTTTAACCAATTTACGCGTTCTCGATCGGTGAGACACGGGGAGGGGAAGAGGTCCTTTTCGGATGAAAAGGAACACTCGTGTCGGCATACGTATATATATATATATATATATATATAGGCGTCTAGGAGTCGGTGGTCGGCGAATCGCGCGCGGCAGGCCATTTTCGAAAGTCAATCGACCGTGAGACCCTCTCCCCCTCCCTCCCTCCCTCCCTTTCGTCAATCGCAATACGCTCATAAATCTCCCTTATAACTCGGCCGGGTAACCGGCTACGACGACGACGACGCGTCGAATTAGACTCCGTCCGAGAAATTCTTTTCCAACCGCGCCTCGAAAAGGATACTTCACCATTTCTTCCATCCTCCTTTTTTTACTTAGTGTATAATAACTGTGTGCAAATAAGATTTTATTATTGTGAATCGGGCACGGGATTAGCCAATCGTTTCTCCTAAAGTCGTCGAAGGTTTCTCCAGCTGAACGAAACGAAATCTTTGATACGACTTTTCGCACGTTCTCTTCTCAGTGGCTTTCGACAGCTTCGTGAAAAATAAGTCGGCGATAATCTCAGTTGCACAGGAAACTCTCGGAAACTCTCACGCGAAAAACTGTTCTCAAAAACGAAGGAACGGTCGGTTTGTGCAAACGTTACGATACAAATTGCTCGAATTAAATTTATCGAAATTTTCTCGTCCGAAACAATAATAATAATTCGCTTTTCGAGAGGGGAAAAAAATCCAAACGAAACGAAATATTAATTTCAAAGTTAGATTTCGCTTCTTCGCTCTTCTCGATCGATTTGTCTGTGTGCATTGGTTGTTCGTCGTAGAGGCCGGGGTAAAAAAAATTAAGGGCGTGGCAGGGTGGCCCGTGTTGTTCACGGCGTGGCGGTATAAAAGATTTCGCGAGGGAAGGTTGGGTGAAGGTTTCGTGCGTGTCATCGACACAATGAGTCGAAGATTATCTACGACGGGATTCGCTAACGTGTTAACGCCTGCAGCCAACCCCCTACCTCGTTCACCCTCTTCCAGAGTTTCCAGAGAAGAAAGGAGACGTACCCCTCCTCTTTTCTTCTTCTTCTTCCTCTTCTTCTTTTTTTTCTATCGGCGGAGTTTCGGTGAAAAGAAAAGAAAAGAAAAGAAAGAGTAGTGAATCGAACGACGTTGTTGAGAAAAATTCCAGAAAAGTGTATAATTTTCTAATGTAATAGTAGTTGTACGACGAGATATTGTTGCGTTATATATATAATACATAATATGTATATACGTTATATACATAAGATAGAAATCTCGAACGTTAAAAAATCTAGTGTCTTTAATCGGTCAATTTGACTTTTCGAATGATTTTTCAAATGTATATTACTGGCCTAAAATTTAGAGTCACTAATAATCGGAAGAAAATTCCATACAAAGATATAAATAATTAAAAAATCTAGTATCTTTAATCGACCAAATTCAGAATCGCTGATATTCGATATCTTCAAAATCTTTCGAAAAACAATCGAGAGAAAATTCGATACAAAAATATAAAATAATCGTAACGAATTTCTCGAACGTTAAAAAATCTAGTGTCTTCAATCGGCCAATTTAACTTTTCGAATATCTATCGCTGGCCTAAAATTTACAATATTATTCACTAGAATACTAGATATCTTGAAAATCTTTCGAAATAAATCTAATCGATAAAACGATGGAGAAGAAAATTCGATACGATACGAAATTCTGGTTGATTTCTCGCGATTCCAAGGAGAAGGATATTATACGTTTGTCTGATTTCACGCACAGGTCACAGTGGCGTGAATCAGCTCGGGGGTGTGTTCGTCGGCGGTAGACCGCTTCCAGACTCGACCAGGCAAAAGATCGTCGAGTTGGCGCATTCTGGCGCGAGGCCCTGCGACATCTCTAGGATACTGCAGGTTAGCAATGGCTGCGTCTCCAAGATCCTTGGAAGGTTGGTTGAAATATTGCTCGTTCCTTTTCTCTTTTTCTTTTTTTTTTTTCCCTCTCCTCTCGACGAGTTGTTTCGTTTCCCATTTACACACACATGAAAATAACTTCCATTCCATTCCAGCGTTGTGTACCGTATTGTACCGCAAATTATTATTATTGCAGGTACTACGAGACCGGGTCGATCAGGCCCAGAGCCATCGGCGGCAGCAAGCCCCGCGTGGCCACCGCCGAAGTCGTGAGCAAGATTTCCCTCTACAAGAGCGAGTGCCCTTCCATCTTCGCGTGGGAGATCAGAGACCGCTTGCTCCAAGAAGGTGTCTGCACCAACGACAACATCCCCAGCGTGAGTACTTTTCCTCAACTCCCAACGTTACATACGAAAATTTCTAAAAAAAAAATCGATCGACTCGAAAGTTCACCTTTCAACCAATTATCCAATCGAAATATTTCTCAGTTCGAATCGATTTCCATTCGAAAGAAAATTTGGAGAAAAACATCGAGCGCCACATTCGAAAAAAAAAAAATCGATCGACTCGAAAGCTCACCTTTCGCCAACCAATTGTCCAATGCGATCGAAATATTTCTCAGTTCGAATCGATTTCCATTCCAAATTTGGGGAAAAACATGGAGCGTTAAATCGAGTCTTTTAGAAAATTTCGAGCGCCACCTTTGAAAAAAAAAAATAAATAAATAAAAGAAAATACAGATAAATTTGGTTGGAGAGTTGAAAGAAAAATTCCACGACTGGTTATGCGAAAGGATGGGGTGGATTACGCCCGCGTTAACGGAACATTAAACGAAACAGGCGCAAAAAGGCGTGGGGTTCGGGGTTCAATGACGCTTTCCACGGGTAACAAGGGCGACGGTTTATAAAGCGTGTCGCAAAACACGCGTAATGGAGGCCGAGTTTGGCAGGGTTGGTGGCGCAAGCGTATCGCCGCGCGAGACACCCGCGGGACCATTTGCATAGATCCACGGGGAGGGAGGGAGGTGTGGATGGAAATCAGTTTTCTGCCGAGGCGGGCGTGTTTATGCGAGCCGTGCGTTATAAACGACGGAAACGAGGCGAAATTCCATCGTTGTCGCCCCATTTGAAACTACGATCGCGAGAGAAATGAACGAGTTCGATGGCTCGTAACGAGAAGTTTCGAGAAACTTGCTTACCTTTTTTTTTTTTTTTTCCTCTTTGTCATCCAAGTAAATTTTCTATTATTAATAATTTTTTTTTGCGTTTACGCGATTTCGTGTCTCGTGAATTTTTAAATAATCGAATCGCGGAAATGCCAAAATTAAAAAGTAGAAAGAAATCCTGTATTTAGATGATTTTGCGAATTTTTAAGTAATCGACACGATTCATTCATCGTAATTTATAATAAACTCTCGAACGAGGTTGGAAAAAAATAATTTAGAAATTTTATTTTAACTCGCGGAAAGAATAAACGAGAGAATTTCGCGATCTCATAATTTACAGCTGCAGTGCAAAATTAAAATCTTCTAAATTTTATACGCCACGCTTCAATAAACTGACTAAAAATAAATAGCCACGGCGCAATTTCCTGTGTTTGTATGTAAATATTTTGCGAATCTTTAAATCTCGATCGAGTTAACCAATTTTTACCGATTCGAATTAAAAGAATAAACGAGCGAGACGATTTCGCAAGATTGAAAAGAAAAAAATAGCCGCAATTGTTGTTAGAAAAACTGTTGTTAGATTTCTCTCGAGCTCGGAGAGGAGATAAATTCGCGGGACAAAGGGAAGATGAATTAAGAAAGACGCGGCGATGGGATCGGATCAAAAGGAAATTTTTCCCAAAGGCCCCTTCCTTCTCTCCTTCTTTCCTCCGCGGCGATACCTTTGCAAGACGCACTCCACCCACTAATACGCAAAAGCGAGGGGGTCGCTTCCCATGGTGGCCCCTCGTTGCCATGGATATTTGCATGCGTCCAATAAACGGTGGCTAAGGGGCTCTCGACTCTTGCTCCTCGGAAGGAGGGGAGGGTAAAAAAGAGGGTCGCTAAATTCTCTTTTCCTCTCGCCGCCTTTCTTCGCGACTCCATTCTTTCTCTCCTCTCTCGCCTCTTTCTCTCCTTTCCCTCGATAATGGCTTCGAGGTGTGTCGGCCAAGATGCTTGGATAGAGGAGGGAAAAGGGGGATAACAGGTGTGCTTTTTTTTTCTTCGTCGTGTTGAATAATCTTGACGTGACGAATAATCTTATCGTTTGAAATCAAATTGTACGGGAATTGGAAAAATTTCGGGTGATATCGTGCAAATGAATAGGTGTAACGACGATCTCGAGTGGATGAAAAAGTATTATCGTTTCCCTTCTTTTTTGAAACAACATTCGTGTTGACAATGAACGAGTCGACGTATTTTTACATAATACGGATGAGATGATAATTCTTGTCTCTTACGTGTAACAATGTCGCGTAAAATTTCGAGCAATATCGTAGAAATAACGATTTCCAGGACATGATTCATATTTTTACAAAATCACTTACGTTTACATTTCGAGGATGATCCTCTTCGAAAACTTTTTCAACAAATTCGTCGAACCACGCAATCTTCGCAAACCCTCTAACGAATAATTATTATTCAATAAAAACTTTTCCTTTCCATACAATGTCCAACAACTGTCTCTGAACCGTCGTCCAAATTGATCCGCGCGTGAAACGCAATAAAACGCGACGCATTCTTGCCGAAGAAAGCGTTTGCTCGAAATTGAAACGGCCGGTTTTGTCAACGTCGCGAAAACCTGCCTCTCTTTCGATCGCGGAATTCGGCGCTTTAACAAATTGCGGAAGGGTCGAGCAGAGAGAGAGAGAGAGAGAGAGGGGCAGAGCCTGCAGGGATCTCTTTGGAGGATCAAAGTACAAAGTATAATCCCAGGCCGCGTTTGAGCATCCTGTAAGCGCTTCTGAACTTGTTGTGGCCAAGATTAACGTTTCTTTAATGGCCCGTGTAATATTCCATTATGTACAGTTCGCTCGAGAATTATTGCGTCTCCGCAAGGGAAGGGGTTGGAGGAGGAGGGTGGAGCTAGCGGATCGGGAAAATAAGAGGAGAAATCAACGATAGAAACGCGATCTTTCCAGACGGTTTTCAGGGACGATGGACGTTGGATAACTTCGATCGCCGTGTTTTACACTCAGTTTCTCTAGTGATTTGCTTCGTATCAGTGGAGTGTTTGGTTAGTGATTTGGTTTGGCAAATTATATTACGATTCGTTCGTGGATTTATTTCTGCTTATATATTGTTTGTATAGGCATATTCGGGAACAATAATTATTTATTAACGTATAATGTTGTTATCCTCTCGGGTTGATTAATTTTCATTTCGATTCAGGGGATGATTGGTGAATAGGAATGATTGGTTTGCTCCTGTAATTTTTGTCAACTTTGTACGATCGTGAGTATTATCGCTTAATTTAGTCTTTTTACTTCCATCGTTTAATTCCATCGCTTGTAACTTAATAAATAATCGATATATATATATATATAGTATTTGCTTTCATCTTCAAAATCGATGCTTCAAAGGTACTTCACGAATATACCTTCTATTCTAAGTTGCTCGAATAGAACAACCTGAACTTCGATTGCGCTTACGACTCAATAATCCTCGACCAACACTTTTATATATCAAAGATACCTCACGAATGTGCCTTTTAACTATTCGATTATGACTCAATGAATAGCCCTCTATTTTCATATATCAAAATTCTCGTATTATATCTTCTAAACTATGCTATTCGATTACACTTGTAACTTAACAGTCCTCTATTTTCATACATCAATTCTCGTATTTGTTACTTTTCCAAAGATACCTCACGAATGTGTCTTTTAACTATTCGATTATGACTTAACGAATAGCCCTCTATTTTCATATATCAAAATTCTCGTATTTTTCCAAAGATACCTCACGAATCTACTTTATAGACGTGCATTAAGAATTGTTTTTCGACGTCATTCGATTACAATTTAATAAATAATCCTCTATCAATTCTCGTATTTTTCCAAAGATACCTCACGAATCTACTTTATGGACGTGCATTAAGAATTGTTTTTCGACGTCATTCGATTACAATTTAATAAATAATCCTCTATCAATTCTCGCATTCGCTTTTGGAAAAAAGATACATCCGACGACGAGTGTTGGCAACGTATTCGTAAGGAAGAACGGTGGACAGGCCGTTTCGCGTTCGAAACTTTTACTTCGTTTATCCTCGTGGATAATGAGCGGAATAGCGCGCGAACGAAATTGATTCGCTTGGCGGCGTGCACGTTCGCTCGTGTTCCCTCTCTCTCTCTCTCTCTCTCTCTCTCTCTCTCTCTCGTC